GAGTAGCCTGCTTGCTTTTTCCAAATTTGTGCACCAGAAGACCATATTGGTTTTAAAATTTTTTTGTAAATTATAATTTCAATATATATGAGCAGTTTTGATCTTCATCCGATAAACCAGTCCATTTCTGTAACTTTCAGCTTGTGTTTACTTTGCTTCTTCCATCTTAACTTAGCATCAAGTGTTATGCCAAGCTATGTTCCAGTATTTGCGTATCTGATTGAAGCTCCTAGTAACGTTATTGGGTGATAATTTGGTTTTTTAGCTGATAACGCTCAAATGCTTTAATTAAGTGTTGTTCAGTTTAATTCTAAAGTGTTCTAATTGGAATTATTTAAGTTTAGTAAAAGTATGGCATAATTTTTAACACTTGTGAGGATTTTCCGCTTTGTATTAGTTCTAATTTATAGAAATTTAATTTATTTAAAACTTTACACCCAGCTCAAAATATAATTATATCTATAAATACCTTATACTTTGATATAATATTTTCCAGAACTATAATCGAAGCATAATCACATTTAAAATAATTTAATCCCAACAGTATTAGTAATACCTGAAATAACTTTTGACTTATTAAACAACTTTTAGTACAAATGTCTAAACATACTGTATAATTGTATAAAATAAAATCAGACTGAAAACATAAAAGCGGGATATGACATCCAGATACATATTGCATACGTACGTAATCGTACGAATACGGATGTATATGGAATAGAAGTTTGGGAATAAGGTTTGAGTTTAGGTAGGTGGATATTGAAGAGTATTTTTTCCATTTCAAACAAACTTTTTTAAAAGCAACTTTTAACTTTTATGCATATAAATAAGCGTTACTCCGGCAATACTCATGGGAGTGAAAAGGAAAATATTTATATGACTTACTTACTGTAAGATTTTATGCTACCGACATTTAGAATTGCATATCTAAAGAGAAACATACCATCATTTTTAAGTAACATACATAAAAGAATTGCAACTAAAATTCAAATCTCAAGTAGGAAATGCAAAACGTATTTGGTTTATTTTAATTCGACGCACGACATGTCGTATTGTCTCCTTTAACGTGCAGTTCGAAAGCACTTCTCGATTATATGGGGCTGTGATATATCGCTAAAAAAAAATGCGATTTGAATTATACTTGCTGATATCAGCACTGAAGTCACTCCCATTTTTGTATATTTTTAACTACGGAATTTTAATATGAACTCATAACTTTTCGGGTTACTGACGTCGCATGTTAATCAATAATAACGTTTCTATTGTTCTCATTGTCTCTAAAAATATTTCGTGTGAAATTAACAAATAATTTTTTATTCTTAAACTTTTTTGTTAAAGTAACAATTAGAAAAATGTAAATTATATTATGAAGCATAACAACAACCACAACAAGTGGTCATGACAACAATATTTATATTTAAATATTTACATACATATATTTTTAACAAAAAAGTAAAATATTCTAATATACTATTGCGTACCCTTTAAAAGGAAAGAATTGTTTAACTAAATAAACCATATTCGTGTTGAAAAATATTTTGTAAACTAACTGCTCAATCAATAATTGAATAATATTAAAGTGTGTCATATAAAATACAATTGACATATGAGTTAAGAAATCGCTCGCTTCATACTCAAACTCTCACGAAACTAGATTTAATTATAAGGATATTTGATACTCTTATTGCTCTTTAAAGCGAAAAATAAATTTATACAGAATGCGTACAACTCAAATACTTCTTCTTCTTCTTATTTGACACTACAGTCCAGTATGAACCTTAGTCTCCTTAACAACCTTAGCCTCCAACTGTGTCGATGTTGTGCAATTGCTTTCCAATTCAGAACTCCGAGCTTTCTGGCGTCCTCGTACACATTTTTCTTTCATCACAACTCAAATACATAAAACTCAAACTTCATATAGCTTTAACTATTCCCAGCTCTAGAAAATCTGGACTCACCTCTATATAGTTAACATATAGTTCGATAACCAACCTTAGTTACCCTAGGCCAAGACAATAAAGTACAGAATAAAAGTTAAACGAGGGGTTAACAACCTGCTCCCAGAAAATATCTAACGATACTACAGCAAAAATTTTGGGTATGGATACAAACGTGAAATCAGCATGATCATAAACTGAAACCATAAGAAATCAGTATGTAGCTTTTGGCCCTTTTGTCTGGGAGTATGATACACACATATTCTCTTTAAAAAAGAGGTGTGACACAAATCATCTTTTCTGATGGCTACAGGCACATTATTAAAAAACTCTTTTAATATATTTATATCTAAAAAATTGAAGATATGGATGTGGAAGACATGTGGGGAAACATTCGGACTTATAATTTCATGCTTTATTGGTGTAAATTATCTACTAAGACCACACAAATAATTTGTAAAGAATAGTTTTTTTGTTTAGTTTTGGAAATACAAATTGGATAATATAGTATACAGATTTAGGTTTAGGCAATACTTGTTGACTAAACAATGTTGTATGTCAGACAAAATTCAATAAATTAACTGAAATTTTTGTTGTTGTCTTCTTATTTCTATTCGAACCCTTCTATATTTTTAATAGTTTCTTTTAGTCATAAGTTGCCATCCAAATATATAAAATTTATATCAAATATTTTATGCAGTATGAAGTTCACAATTTTCTGCAAATTCTTGGTATTGCTAAAGTTCTGATGGACGTTGGAAGTCATACGCAAACGGTCAATAAGCAAACAATTCATAATTTTGGCTTCGAAAATAATAGGATTATATTTGCTTTTTCGAGATACATTCACATGAAATCATTAAATAATAATTTGAAATTTTTTCAATGTTTCAAGGATAGTTGAGCAATGCAGTGGCAATTAATTTAGTGAAACTGAAAAGCAGCGCGTGTTTAAAATTTCTGAAGCAAATATTTTGGGAAATGCAAATCTAATTAAAAAATATTATATTAACATAAATTAATTACTATTTGATAATAAAATTAATACAAATATATGATATTAGGGGTACTCGTCTAAGCATATAAATTTATTAAATGTATAATTTTATGCTTTTACGTACACAGTTATATGAACGTGAAAGTAATTTTCCATTCACAAATGAAAGTTCTTTTCGTTCAAATATGTAGAAAGCAGTCTATTATCATTTATCAGGACAAATTGTACTTGGTCTTTAGTTAGACAGGAGTATGTTCACTCATAAACCACATAAAACCGGATCGTGAAGCAGATAATCGAAATTATAGAGTCTATAATTGAATGAAGTAAAAAATTATTTAATCAGCAGAAAAAGTTATATCAACAGTTTGTAAGGATTACAAATATATTCATTAATAAAAAATGGTAACTTAACTTATATTATTCATTACAGTTCATAGGTTTAATTATAAAAAAAAATAAACGGCAGATGAAATAATAAATTACGCATAATAAGCTTTTAATTTTTAAATACAATTTTATTTTTATTCTATTTATAAGTTTTTTATATTATATTTTTTTTTTAATTATTTAATTTTTTTACTAATATTTATCTCGAAACAGTTGCATTATTTAAATTTTATGATAATTAATTCATATTTTTCAGTTCTATTCGAGGATAATATATACTAACACTAAATTATAATGGTCTATTAAAAATACATCTAAGTATTTTTTCACGTATAGTATTATATTATATTAAAAGTATACTTAATGAGAATTATAATTTCTTTTTGTTTACGTTTACGTACACGGTTATATGAACGCACTTAGTGAAATATTTGTGTCAATTTATCAATCTGCTGTGTAATAGCACTATTTATAAAAGCAATAATAATGACAGCAAAAAATGCAATGTTTAATTATTACAATTTCAAAGTAACGTAATACGTAATTATATTTAAACATAAAATCTAACCAAAGTCTATTGGAAGCAGTGTAGCGTACATGCATTAAAGTAACTAATTTCAAATATACCTAGTGCAAGTAAAGACCTCCAGGACAAAAAAGGTGGTTTAAACGTGACTAAACTTATTACAAGCAAATATATATCAACTATTAATGATCTTATGGAATATTGACTTTATAAGATTTCACGTGAATTCTCCCTTTATTGAGTTTTTGCACAAATGAGTGTTAAAGAGACTTCATTATGACACTAATACCCCAGAACATACCAAACTGTTTGGGACTGTTTAGCAGCTAAAATGAAAACATTATTACGATAAGAAATGACTAATCTCAGGGACTGTGAGTTAACTAGAATCTTTTAGGAATAAAGAGGCATCCATTAATAACTTTGCATATTTCTGTACAAGACTGTAAACGATGTTGATAGAGGTTTGGCCAAAATTATAAAGCTAGACTTATTAGATCTTCATACCTTCAGTTAGAGAACAAAATGTTTTAACAAATATCACGCAAGAAGTTATAATAAAAACTATGGTTCAAACATCTCTTTTTTCCATGGCATCACAATGCGCTATAGATGTCACCAAGTGGAAATGCTCATGATTGTATTAACACGGGCTTTCTTAACTTAATCTGACTTTAATCCACTATTTTATAAATATATAGTCAGTCATATATAAATCTAGCGTGTTAAGTTTTAGAGTTTAAACCTATGCTCGCCAGTTTGCCACAACTGTACATCGCTAAGAATTGAAAACACGTTATTCCTCTTAAAATAAGATTTTTTCTTTCCTAGAATAAGTCAGAAATATCCTGCATATACTGATATATATACTAAATCGACTATTATTTTATTATAATTAATCAGATAAATTTTGGCAAAAAACATTTTTCAGTTTAATCCACTCTTGTTATATATATAATAACAAGATATATAACACGATATATAAAAAGATATAATAACAAGTATAATATGTTATATTATACGTTATACCTATATTGCTATAGTAGTCGTTTTAAACAATAGAATTTCTTATTTAAAAAAAAACATGCAATTAATTTAATATTATTGATTTAATTTTTAATATTTTTGGAGAAATACTGCTTTATTTTACCTTTTTTGTAGTTTCACTTATTTACTGGTCGTAATGTATCTAAAAACAAAAATATACATATATAATAAGTAAAGTCAAGAAATTATTGTATTTAAAAATTTTTTATATTATAATGATAGCTGTCATAAATAATAACTGCTTTTATATTGAATGTAAAAATATATACTATAAAGCTTTTTACTAGAACTATGGGTATTTCAGACGATTACTTTTTAGTGTGAAACACTTCATCTATCTGTACTGCTTGCTTTGATCTCTAATTATGCACCTATAATGTACACAAGTCATCTATAATAATATCAATACGTCTCTTTTGTAGTCGTTCTATTTGGTGGTCGTTCTTTTTTTGGTATTCCCACGATTTCACATTAACGTAGTTCCTCACTGTTGTCTTTTGGTTATGATTATGGCTAATGACAACTATAATTGTCTTTATCTATTCTTAAAAGGTTATTATGTCACTTCCCATGAGTTGGTCTAGCTCATGTTTATAGTGTGTTCTATAAAGACTCTCCTTTAAAACCAAGGTCCAAATATGCATCAAAGTATTTTCAAATTAAAGCTAAGCTTAATTTTTAATGTGCTTTTTTCATTTTTAATGTAGCTTCAATTGATATGAGCATTAACTGGACTAAATTACATTTTAAATATAATATTAATATCTATATTGCATAAAATGTATAGCAGATATCTGGTGTAATTCTTACAATACTTATATATCCAATCTACTGACAATAAATAAATACATACAATAAATTATAACATCCAAATAAGAATAGAAAATGACCTCCATACTCTAGTTTAATAATTATTTTCTTAAATCTATTAATGAAATTGGAATCGTTTATTTATAGAACAGTCCAAAAGTCTTCAGGTAGAAGTCTTTTCTTCAACTTTATTAACATTACACCACGTTCTGAAATCGCAGTAGTTCCGCACATCTTCACACTTTGCGTCCGATCCGTATAAAATAAGTGGCGGTAAGAGGTACTTACATTTTAATAATAATAATTTTAAATTTTTGCCAAATTAATTACTGATACCATCTACCAGTACAATAATATATACATTAAGACCGAAAAGTTTTCGGAAATTCTCATTTAAAATTCGCGCGCTGTATATTTTTCGATATTTTAAGTTTATGTAGTTTGGCAGCAATTAAGGCCAATTACTATGCCAAAAATGAGCGCGATCTGTCAGACAGTTCGTTTACGGCAGCTGTTGAAACCAGTTCACCTCAGTAGTGCGTTGCGAAAAAACAATGGAAAAAAATATTGAACAAAGAGTTTGCATCAAATTTTGTGTTTCGAACGAAATTTCGTGTGCAGAATCGTTGCGAATGCTACAAAAGGCTTATGGGGAATCAGTTTTATCGAAAACTCAAGTTTATGAGTGGTACAAAGCCTTTCAGGACGGTCGTACGACCGTCGAAGACATTTCGCAACGCACTACTGAGGTGAACTGGTTTCAACAGCTGCCGTAAACGAACTGTCTGACAGATCGCGCTCATTTTTGGCATAGTAATTAAGGACAGTGCTGCCAAACTACATAAACTTAAAATATCGAAAAATATACAGCGCGCGAATTTTAAATGAGAATTTCCGAAAACTTTTCAGTCTTAATGTAAGATATAATAAAGAATAAGGGTAATTTGAAACTGAGTTACTATACTAACATAAAGAAACTAATCAACACGTTAGTTAGTACAGAGATTATATTAGTCATAAACTTAAAAAACTTTTACAGAAATTATATTCCATTGTTATTCAAAACATTACCATAGCCTTTAACGTATATATTGAGACTGATTTAAAATTATACATATTCGTAAATAGAAAGCAAATATTAAAGTTTACGAAATATCCATCACAATTTTGCTGACTTTTGACAATCAAATAACAATTTTCTATCTATAACCTATAAAGTCAAACTTCCATAACTCGAAGACCAATTTTGTAAAGAAAAGGTTCAACTTTTGAATAAGTCTTCTACTTCATTCTTGAAAGGTTGATGAACAATTTCATCCACCGAACCCTCATCATCACTTTCCTTTGCGCTTAGTATCGGGAAAGTAAACATTTTATTGTCAAGCTCAATATAATAGTCAAGAGTAGCATTGGAAGTTATTTTATTTACTTTAAACCACGCTTCATAATTCTGTTCCATCAATTCGCGGTCTTCATCAATTTTATTCAAGAAAACTAAAGATATGTCGGAATTGGCCAAATCCAAGCAGTGCACTATCGTTTGACTACTTACATCAATATCTCAAGCTTTTATTACAGGATTTATACAATCTATAAGTCTAATATCCCGCTTTTTGTTATTTTGTTTTTGTTATAGATGCAGAATTATATGTTATTTGCTCTCTAAAACCCTGTTGCACTCTCTTTAGATGAAGTTATAGAAAATTCCACTTATAGAAGATCGAGTTATGAAAGTTTAACTGTATATGCTACTCATCATCAGATCCAAAAAAAAAAATTCAAGCACAGCGCTTTTAAACAAATTTGACATACAAGGTAATATATGAAATCAATATAATGATTATTGAATTAATCAAGAAAAATTACGCATTTCCTTGACCAATATTGAAAAATTGTATTTATTTGTTATGAAAATTAATTTATTTTCACAAAACTTAGAGAACATAGCCACATGAGAAACCATTATTATCCTTTTTCAACAATTTCTAACCATATGAAAATTAAACCAAAATAATCATGTGAAATTGTTGAGGCAGTTGGGTTATGAAACCCCATTAACAACTAACGAACTCATCTGCAGAAAGCACACACAACCCTTAATAGAGCTAATACTCTACTAACTATGCCTCTAAGTGGACACCGCAAAGGACACTGAAGTTTATGTGTTGTAATTTGATACCAATAAGTTTAACCAACCAACTTATTTAATTAATTATCAATAATGTTTCATATAAATTTTTACTAGTCTGTATGATGTATGTATGTTTTTGGAGCCCTTAAAAACATTTTTTTTTTATGGGATATTTGGAATGAAGTGGACGGACAGACGGACAAATTCCTTCATTTAAAAACGATTTTAAATAATTTTAAAATAATTAAAGCACATATTTATTTTAAATTTAAGCTGTATTAAAATTAATTATTTAAACATACAAAAACAAAAAACTAATATAATAAAATTGTTAACTTTTGCATGCTTTGAATATTTGGATTTGAATTTCATTTAAATTTATTAATTTTTCTCTCTTTAAGTTTAAAATACATGCAATTACCATGTTATTATAGAATTTAATATAATTGGAAGGGTTTTGTGCTACATGCAAAATCGCAAATTTCTCACGAAGAGTTCGGTACTCAGAACAGTTTCACTTATATCAGCAATTTCCATAATGTTTGCGGTTTTCATATACAATATTAATGTTAATATACTATATACTTATATGCATAGATACACTAATGTTATATATACATTGTATGTGTATATACTCGCATGTGATAACATTTTGTATATATTTGGTGGATATAAAGGATACTTATTTAGTTATTGTTCACATTGAACAATCGAAAATTTGCTGATTTATTATTGCATAAATAATGCTTAATTTCGAAATCAGTCACATTTCTAAACAAAAGCGATATATCAGAAATTCAGCGCAAATACATCAGCAAATTTGATGGTTTTGAAATAGCACCAATGTGGTTCCCCCCTTTTGATGAATTTATCACAAACATATAAACTGCGGTTTATGTCATTGTTTTGCAATATTATACTAAATCATTTTTTAAAAGATATTTTACAAAAAAGTAGGCAGAGCATAGTGTATTGAACACGACAAGGATTTCATACCACACGAATAGTTTGTTTTTAACCAATTTTAAATTTAAACAATTTAAAATCAACTACAAACTTGTGTTATAATCATAATTTATAATAATTATTATACTTCAACAGATAGCCAGAATCAAAAAGTCAATATATACATTGCATCCTAATAATTTTTCGACATTTCTATTTTAAGTATATATGGATATGTCAGTGGACACATAGTCCATATGCGCCTTTCTTTTTTCAGATCGTAATAATTATTATTACGATTCATATTAATAAATATTATTTATTGTCAATAATACCTGACAGATTATAATATAATTAATGGATTAAAAAAAAAATGTCAATAATATATAGTGGTTCAATACAAGTTCTTAGCGCAGCGACATCTGTATAGTCTTCACGACTAGTAGATGAACAGTCAACACTTTATCTATTTATTCTCCGCTCACGTTTGAGCAAATTTCCTTTACACTTTAATACACTTTGTGTATTTAAAGAAAAAAATTATATTTTAAATCAATTAAAACTGGACCAATAACTCACAAAATGGTAGAAAAATCTATAATGGAGTGCACGTTCTCACATACAAATTTTAGATTTATTTAGCTAATTTCGTGACGATCATTTAAACCTTGAAAAAAAATGACGAAAAACTGTCATCAAAAGCCATTCTCAACAAAAAAAAAACATTGAGAAAGTAAAAAAAAAAACATTGAGAAAGTCAAAAAAAAAAACCATTGAGAAAGTCAAAAAAGTTTTTCAAAGAGAGCTGTGTGGCTGCAGAACTCATCCAAACCGAAACCGAAATACAAATGAACATCTCCTATTAAATTTCGATTGGCATGCGGAATGACACGATAAAAATGTTCTGAAGGAATCCTTCAAGTATATCGACTATCAAAACTGAATACCACCAACACCAAATTTTTTGATTCAAAGGGAATTAATTGTTAGAAGTAATTTTATCGCAGAATAATAAAACGTATATCGATCTTAATATTATCTGTAAGTTCTACAATAATTATAGACAAAAAATCTACATATTTAACAGTAATATTAAAAGTCAGGCAATTAGTTAATAACAACAACAATGATAATAAGTCATAGTAAGTCAGAATATGATAGCTTTTTTACCAAAAGAGATATACAAAAAGGAATCATTTTATAATTCACACTGAAAAGATATTTATTCAATATCATCCCAATCATCCAAAAGACTT